CATTACCCATTTAAGCCGTCTCCAGCCATTATTAGTCTCAAAGTGGGTTCCTCGTCATCGAATTTGAATACAGTGTAACTGTTCAAACTTTCTAATAAGTCCTTTTAATTTTATGTTAGTCTTGCTCTTATGTTTTATGTAATGTCAGACTTTCATAAATTTTCTTATCTTAACTTTGTCATATGACTTTAGACTCTTATTGGTAAAACTATTCTTCATTTCCAGTTGTGGGTAGACCATTTTCCATGGTTTGAACCTGTTATTTTCTTCTCATTTGGGTTTATTTCTGATCAAGGCAATTTTATCGTGGTTTATGTCTCCTGGTGGGTGAGCACAAAGTTTACAGAACTACACTGCTAAAATCTGGGGCTCAGCTTTCCATGATGGACAGAGCACAGATAACCCAGTGTAGCTTTTTGCTCAAAACAAGCATTCTTGATCTAGTGACACATTTTCTATTGGACCTATCTTTATATTACAAAGGTTGGGGTGTCAAGCAATATTTTTTTCTTACATGTGATTAAATGTATATTGATGATTATAGTTTTTCACTCTTGTTTTATGCTTTTGAATTCTCTTCTGGTCTGAATTTTAAAAGTTTTTCTCAACGAAATTTGGCCTGTCTACACTCACGTGGAAGGTGTTTGATCTATGGTTAGTGAATACCTAATAATCCTTTCTTCTTTTTGTCTTCTGATTGATTTATGTACTCAAGGACACTCTTGCACTTGTTGTAGTTTCTCTCTACATCAGTGATTTTATGTGAGATCAAGACTCAGCATGGAGTCATCTTTATTATTATTATTTTTTTTAATCTTGACCATCAACTTTTGGATCTCTTACTTGCCCACTGCCTTATAACATAACATGTAAAGATAACAGGGCCTATTCATCCATTACTGCTGTTCCATCCATTTACAATTTTGGTGGCAAGTGCTCCTAGCCAGTTGACTTCCTTCTAGTCAGCAGTTCAAAAAGAAAAGAAACTAAAGTTGGTGGCAGGTGCTGCCAGCCACTTGCCTTCCCTTTAGCCTGCAGTTAAAAAAAAGAGTTGGCAGCATGTACTGCCAGCCAGTTGTCTTTCTCCTACTCATCAGTTCAAGAAAAAATAATTGGTGATGGTTGCTATCATACAGTTGTCTTCCCTCTTAATCAACAGTTCAAAACTGATGACAGTGGAAGAGTGTTAGTAGCTTTTCCATAACACCAACTCACCAAAGCTGAAGAAACTTGATGTGAAAAACAACAACTTATAACTCTAAAATTGAACAGAGCACAGATAGCTTATCATGTAGCTTTGTGTTTAACAACACACATAATGGCAATATTTCAGTTGGAATAATTGGTAACCTTAATTTAAATTATTTGATTATTTTGGGAGAATCGATTTAATCGTAATTTCAATTGATCAATTTTTGGAATAATCAAAAACAGTAATAATCTGAAACACTAATTTTGATTAGTGAAATATTTTCATGACAATTGAATTAATCGTAATCTTGATTAGTTGATTTTTAAAATAATCAAAAACAGTAATAGTTAGAAACACTAATTTTAATTATTCAATTTAATCATAATGTCGATTAATTAGTAAGTTTATTTGATGCTAATCAGTGTAATTGCTGCTTATAGGTAATGAATAAATTGTACAGCTCTTATTAAATACAAATGATGATGCATCAGTGCTATCAGTTCCCTTAATCAGATGCCCTTTTAGCTCTTATTTTTGCAAGGAAAGACAATTTCAGGGATCTTAACCTGTCCTCGTATGACAACCTGTCATCTCAGGTATCATCTTATTATCCCTTCTTAGAACCTTTTTCGTCCTGAGGTAAGGTGCCCAAGACTAAAGAACATCCTCCAAATGAGGCTTAATGAGTGACCTGTGCAACAAAATGATAGTCTCTTTTAAGCTGATATTTAACATTTCTGTAAATACAACCCAAATTCCTATTTGTCCAATGGACTGCAACAGTACATTACTTGGATTCCTTAAGAGACTGATTAAACATAAGACCAAGATTCTTTTCTTCCATAACACTATTAAGGTTATTCCATCAAATTTATATTTAGACATTAATTTTGATAATCAATAAGCACAACCTTGAATTTATTATAATTAAAAAATCCTCTTCCAGTTATTCGTCCAACTTACCAAATAATCTATCACTTTTTTATTGTTTTCTTGAAGCTTGTATTTCCAGTATAGTCTTATTTGCTTGAACATTGCCATTGATGAACAGTTAGTCTGTTCATGCTTATATTTTGTACATCTGGTAGTCCAGATTGGCTCCTACCTCAACTTTGCCTGGGTATTCACACTATTTTCTGCCATATCTTATTCTGCTAACACTCTGTATGACTATTTTTCTTTACTGCCTCAGTAGCTTAATTGGAATTTACTTTCTGACTGCCTATTTTCTTGTTCTATGAATTATATTTTTACATTGCTTAACATTTCCAATGCCAAACATTTTGATCCCTAACTAAGCAATGTCTTCTAATTTTTATGTATTAACCTTTTGGAAAATGGTTTACACCAGTCCTCCCATGTTTTTTGTTAACAATTACTTCAGCTGTTTTTTGTTTTTTTTATTTAGCAACTTTTTTAAATTTTCCTGATTTGAATTTTGAACAATGCTTGTGGAAGCTCACAAACTCTCTAGTTTCACAACACTTTTTTTCAACTTTCTAATGTAAATATATTTGATTTTCATAATATTTTCAATAGTATTTTGCACCTTAGTTTAGCTGGTTCATGCTGTGTGTGTGTTTTATTAATCACTTCAGTAGTTATTTCTAGCACTGGAACCTTTGACTCCACTCATGTAGGTATGTTTTCAAGCCGCCCCTAGTAAACAACATCCAACATACAAGTTTCTGGAGAGTGTTTTTTGTTATCACTTGTGAAACCCATTCATTTCATGTGAGAACTGAACATTGGATTTTGTTTTCATATTCAGTAGATCTATACCTTTGGGCCATGGCAGCATTATCCTTCTAGGAAAGTATACACCTGGTACTACATTTTTTCCATCAAGTGTGGTAAGGATGAACTTTTTAATTAAGTATAACCCCCTGAAAGATGGTCCATGTTTACTGAGATGTTGCATTGCTATTCCATGTATATTGAAGTTGGTTACTCTGTCTGAACCTTCAGTTTACAAGTTCTGCACACTTCTCTCCATATTGGAAGTTTTTAACCTCTTGGTACTTGATGTTATGAGATGATGGTCCTTGAATACTTAGTTACTTCAGGAAGAATGTGATTCCTGGTGAGTGCTTGGAGGTATCCATTCATATGAGGTCTTAAATCCCTTGATTGTGGTGTTAGTGGTACTTAAACGATTTCATAGAGATTCACCCTACTTCCAATGTTTAACCTATTCTTTTTAGGTGAACATCATAGAACTATGTTCCTAGCTATATGGTACTGTGGGAACTATTATATTATTCTGATTTATTTTCATGGTATGTGTCACAACTCTTTGGCTTCATTTTTCCTGCAGAATAACATATCTTGGGTAAAGTAGAAAGCCTGCCAAAAACAAAATAGATTTACATCTTGGAAGATAACCAAGAGAATATATAAAAAACTATGGTAGAATCATCTTTAGACTAAAAATTGGAATTTTAGTTATATATAGTTAATATTGAAATTTTAATTGCACATTTTAGGCATTCATTTGTATAATCAGTGTGGTTTTGAATGGATTTTTAATTATTTTTAATACAGAGTTTTATCACAAATTGTGATTTTAAAACTTATTAAAAATGTAATATATATATCTTTAAATGTTGCTAGTTGTACACAAATAATAACCTCCAAATACATGAATATTTAAATAATTGGCTAAAATCTGTGAACCTTGATGCATGTGAAAGTTGTATTGTTATTGAAATTAATTTCAAATCGGACAGACTTACCTCTGAAATACAGAAAGCCTCTCCTTGTTGAGTTTGAACTCGTTCTGTCAACAAAACAAGTGACTTAAAAGCTCTTAATGCCATTTGTGTATTTGCTTATCATATATATATGTCACTTACCCATAAAACTCCACTCTCCCACTTTCCACATAATTGATTGTGCATGTATCAGTGTATCGTTCCTGGCTTCAGTTAGATTTTTTTGTTGTTCACTTTGCCACAACTTTTTGTGATTTCACTGGAGGCTTTACTTATGCAATTTGTCTATAGTGTGAAGGTTTAAATCATCTATGTATCTTA